TACCGGTCTGCTTCTCGTTAATAATTAAAAAGCCTTTTTAAGCGTCGCTTTTCACTTTATATATTATAGAAAATGCTCATCTACAGATATAGTTTCTAAGGGTCGGGCAAAGGGATTGCCAGTGATGGGGTTTAAAGGACAAATTGCTAGCAACATAACCTATAAGGTTGGGGAAGGGATTCTTAGTATTGCGGACTGTCAATCCCATTGCTAGCAATACACACTGTCACGTCGACCTCCACGTGGTCCCCCTGGAAACTATCGTGCTGAATACCAGGTGTATTCATCACGATAGGCTAACTGACTCGCCCTTTCATCCTCACTGGTGCCCCGTCAGCGTATACCGTTAGCGCAGCTGGGGTTGCCATTTCGTTATCATCCATTGGAAAAAAAAACCCTTAGTTTCTTCCTGAAAATATTATTTTTTTATACAACCTAGAATGGCAAACAAGCTGCCCACCTGATGGAAAGTGGTAACCGTCGCCTATAGACATGAGCAGTACCATGGACATAACAGAGTATACTGTTTCGCCCAGGATGCCTCCCATACGTTGCCATTCCTGAGGACTCAGATGTTATTCCTCTGTATCCAGTAAATTCACCCTTCAAACCGAAACACAGTCATGCAAACACAACTGCTTCATGGTTGATACACGAATGGGACAGAGGTACCCAAGCAATCGACTTTTGTACAAAGTCTCCCTCTGGTGTAGTTATCATACAATATCAGCCGTTAATTGCTAACCGATGATTCTTCCTATTAGGGGGTTTTGCCATTAGTTGCCACACTTGGCAGTCGGGTTAAGCTTATTTGGAGATGTTTTAAGAGGAACGCTGCTGTTCATCTCTCAGGAATTTAGCTCCCTTAGTCGCCTTTTACTACACCCACGGAAAAGGAAGAACTGGTCTATTTTATGCCGGGACTACACGGTAACGGGTGATCAGTTCGTGTTGAAATCATCACGATAGGCCAACTGATCTGCTTTCATCTTCATCTATAATTTTTAACAGGTTTCCCGTCAGCATATGCTGATAGCGTAGGCGAGGTTACCATTCCATTATCATCCAATTAAAAGCATTTAAGAATCAGGATTGTATGTAATGGGGACAACCGGCCCCTTTGCTAGTAATATATCCTGCCAAATCAATCAACAAATTAAGCACATAGTGACAAATTCACTTGGTTAATCCAGTGGAATTCGTCGATGGGTCAACTGACTTGAGGGCCTACCATGAGATGTTTTCCGAAATTTCGGAGCCAAACGAAACACAAATTTGATGTTAAAATACCATAATACATGCCGTTTGAAAATATTTAAAATGTTAAAATATTGTTCCTTTGGACTTTTATGATAAGATGTATGACGAACGAAATGTTAAACTCCATTTATTGGTCCGATTTTGGTATAAACAAAAACACGAAATGAAGTCCGAAATTTCGGAATTTCATTTCATGTTAGACCCGCAGCTCTCAACTTCACCCGTCATCACCCATTCTTACTCGCTGGGATATACTGATAGCGAGGGCGGGGTTATTATTCTATTTTCATAACGTTAAAAAATATCTAAGGTAGAGGTGACAATAGTTCTATGGAATTAAAGCCGTATGCACACTATATGCTGGTCGTGGTTCGTTCTCGGTTCGATCTCGGTATGGTAAATAAAAAGAGTAAGTACTTTATATTATTTTCAATTTCATGTATATTTAAAATATAAGTATATTTGTTATTTATATATATATTTATTCGTTTATACATATAATTTTAGTATGTATGTATATCAATAATTACTGGTAACGCATTCGAGTATTCTGACACTTCCCTACGGTTGACTGGGAGAGAATGCTTTTAGCATTAAGTCCGCCATGTACACATATATGTACTAATGAATAAATAAATAGTTCAAAATTGATTGTGGCTTATCAGCCAATAAAAAGTTTAAAAAAAAGAACAACCTAATTAAAGAACTTATTTTTTTTTATAATATAATATTTATTTCGGGGAAAAAGTAATATTTTTGAAATCCTGTTCTTATTTATATATACTACGTTATAGAGATTGCATATTTAGGTCTCCGTTTTGGCTAGGCGCAGTCTAAAAAGTTGTTACTGCACATTTTGCATCAGCGGAGTGGAGTGTAATTTAGTGCGAACAAGCTTGTTCCCGGTTATCACGTTGTTTCAACAAAGGAAGCCGGCACAAAGAGGTTTATTTTTTTTTTCTCATTAAACTGAAAAATTACAGGGCTTCCCTCGTATATACTATGTTTATTCAAAGCATTGCACTTAATTAAGTCTATTCATTTAGTTAATTTGATTGTAATATATACTTTGCAATTATTTACTTGTGTCGACTTTACTCAAGTATACCAGAGGGAGATTTTGTACAAAAGTCGATTGCTTGGGTACCTCTGTCCCATTCGTGTTTCTACCGTGAAGCAGTTGTGTTTGCATGGCTGTGTTTCGATTTGAAGGGTGGGTTATGGTGTGAATTTACTGGGTACAGAGGAGTAACACCTGAGTCCTCAGGAATGGCAACGCATTGGGGGGTATCATGGGCAAAACAGTATACTCTGTTATGTCCATGGTACTGCTCATGTCTCTATAGACATGAGCAGTACCATGGACATAACAGAGTATGCGCCTATGCGACGGTTACCACTTTCCATCAGGTGGGCCGTCAGCTTGTTTGCCATTTTAAGTAGTATAAAAAAAAAACGTAATAAATTCGAAAATATCCCACTTGTACAAACTAAAAAATCGAACAATTAAAAATAGGTAACTTTGTAACGGTACAGAGCAGGGACTGACAATTAGCTGCTGGATTAGGAGTTGATATAATTGAATGGAGCACAATTCCCAAAATAACAATGTGCACAGAGTCCCTCATCAGTGAGCACATCTGTGATATCTACTGGGAACTGTTTGCGGATCATTTGTTAACATAAACTTTGAGATAAAATATAGTGTTGTACCAAGTTTGTGTTAATACAATCTACAGAGATCACGACCAAGAGTTAATTATACGAAGCATTTTAGAATTCAATTCAATTATTTGGAACCCTCATGAAACAAAATACAAAATAATGTTAGAAAGAGTTCAGAGGAAATTTGTACGTGTTATGTATAGTAAACTTTACGGCTACTATCCTTATTTGTACCCATCACTGTTCGTATCCGGTATCTAGAAACGCTCGAGGTAAGGCGAAAGTGCAATTTGATGATGCACTATTATCGGTTGCTCAACGGCGGAATAGACAATCCTGCAACTCTTAGTCGTTGTTCTTTGTACGCACCCCAACGCTGCATGCGATTGCGTGCTTGTCGACTACTATCGGCACCGCCGGTTCGCACCTGTACTGCTCAGTTTGCTCCCACTTATCAGGCTATTTCTCTGCTCAATTCTCGGATTGCTCAGCAGCCCAGATATTGAGATATTTAATGACAAAATAAATATATTTTTAAAATGTTGTACAAAATTTGTAAGTTTGTAAAATAAAACTATGGCTCACTACACGTTTTGGGAAACTGTAAGTGTGGTGAGTAATTTTCAAATAAATAAATAAATTAGAAAATTTTGTGTAGAAATTAACTTTACTAGTAAAAACTGTATACCATTTATTGCTTTTTATTGAAATGATCGTATGTCGATTGAACCAAAAAAGCAAAATGATATTATCATACCACCCGTTAACTGTCCACTGTTGAACATAGGCCTCCCGTACAAGGAGGGAATTTTCCAGTAGTTGCCATACTTGGCAGACGGGTTGCCAACCTCACTTAGGCTTTAGTGATGTCTTAATAGGGACGTTACTATTCATTCATTGACCATTAAATTCTCTTGGTCGCCTTTTACGATACCCACGTGAAAGGAAGGGGTGGCTCATCCTATGCCGGGACTACTGACTTTAACAAACAAATATTTTGATTCTAGTATATAAATCTAGGCTCCGCTGTCTTTAGGGAAACTTGTTCCAGGCCATATCTTTGAGCTTGACATGTTTCCTTTAACATGATATATTAAATCTTTTAATGTATCCTATATAAATTATGTACAATAAAGTTTTTACAATATAATACAATGTATTATTATTTAAATTGTGCTAAAATCACTTTTTCAGTTTCAAAATTTCCAAAATCGATTCTCTATTCACAGCATCATTCGATGATTTACTTTAAAATACTGTTAAATCGAGAAACTTTCAAAATATTTTACGATGGTATACATGTATTGTAAGATAAATGTACCACTCTAATAAATCAAGATACATTAATCATAATTTCGTTTGATGGAGGCAGGTTTCTGACAGTTACATACGCAAAAAATGCTTTACAATCACGACAGGTGATGTTTTAGTCTATTTGCATATATGCGTTCTTTGTACGCTGCTATCTGCTATGCAACACTCATCTCAATCTAATTTTGACATACCTGTTGAATATTTATTGCGTACTTTTGCAAAGAGTAACACAAACTTCTGTTACTTATTGTAACACATATTAGAATTTAAATACGATTGTGATCGTAATTGTTTATCAAACAGAGCAAGGATTATTTGGATTATTAATCCAATTAAGTTAATTATTGTAAATATTATTATTGAATTATAAGTATAACAAAACATTTTTTTTATACAACTTAGAATGGCAAACAAGCTGACGGCCCACCTGATGGAAAGTGGTAGCCGTCGCCTATAGACAAAAGCAATACTATGGACATAATAGAGTACACCGTTTCACCCATGATACCTTCCATGCGTTGCCATTCCTGAGGACTCAGGTGTTATTCCTCTGTACCCTGTAAATTCACGCTATATCCCACCCTTCAAACCGAAACACAGCCATGCAAACACAACTGCTTCATGGTTGAAACACGAATGGGACAGAGATACCCAAGCAAACGACTTTTGTACAAAGTCTCCCTCTGGTAATGTTCTATGTGAAAAAATTCGTAATATAGGGGAAAAAATTAAATCTCCCATTAAAAATTGAACAAACTCACCTCTTTGTCTGTCGTAAGCGTTAATACATTCGCTAGTCTGGAACTGGCTGATGAGGGCAGTTTTGCCGACGCCAGGCGCGCCAACCATCGCAACACGGTGACACGCGACGGGACGGCGTTCCTGCGGCTCAGGCGCGGCTTGAGCGGGCGACGACGGCGCTAGACTGCCCGAGCGGGATCTCCGTCGACGAAACGAGTCGCCACGATTCACTATTCCTGAAAAGAATAGAAAATGTTTTAAACACACAATCGGGGCTTACCGCGATAAAAAACCTTTGCAGTTAAATAGTAACTACATTTATACAGTTAAATAGTAGCTTCTTTACTGCTGACGTTTCAAATTATCTAAGAAAATGTTTGTTTAATAAAATTTGTAACGGCGATTCTTATTTACTAATTATAGAAAGTTTGATTAGATATGTATGTATGTATGTATAATAAGATACATGGCTCGATATTTGTTACTCTTTCATGAAAAAAACTACTGAAAGGATTTGAATGAAAATTGGTACCTCTTATCTTAGTATGGGGGATATTTTATATACTGAGAGAGAGACTTTGTACAAAAGTGGTTTGCCTGGGCACCTCTGTCCCGTTGGTGTTTCTACCGTGAAGCAGTTGTGTTTGCATGGCTGTGTTTCGGTTTGAAGGGTGGGATATGGTAGCGAATTTACTGGGTACAGAGGAATAACACCTGAGTCCTCAGGAATGGCAACGCATGGGAGGCATCATGGGCGAAACAGTATACTCTGTTATGTTCATGGTACTGCTCATGTCTCTAGGCGACGGTCACCACTTTCCATCAGGTGGGCCGTCAGCTTGTAATTCTAAGTTGTATAAAAAAAAATTGTCACGATTGGCAGTCGGGTTGGCAACCGCGGTTTGGCTTTTGGTGATGTTTTAAAAGAGTCACCACCACAGAGTAAGTCACCATAAGCTACCTTAGTCGCTTCTTACGATACCTACGGAAAGGAAGGGATGGCCTATTCTATGCCGGGACCTACACGGAATAAAATATAAATATAAATTTCTGTCTTAATAATAACATAGTCTATGTTCTAAGTAGGGTAAATCTTTATTTTATTTTGATCTAATTCTGTATGTAAGGGTTATTCTTACAGTTGTAAATCAGAGTGTAAATAAACATCGAATTTTCCAGCTTCCAATGCAAGTCGACGGCGCAGTAGCCGACAATGCAAATGCATCGGTTTATAATGTTTGACGTCAAACCGGTACGGTGCAGGCCAACAATAAACGTGTATCACGAGGCAGTAACAAACGTACTGTTTGTTGTTTGTGACCAACAAAATAGACTCTTTTATGTGGGTAAAGTATCTAGTATCTGCAAGAAGGTTGTTTGGAAGAGATTGCTATAGCGATAAGTTCGCCTTTTATAAGAGTGTCCTCTTTTTTTTTATATTACTCTTTAACTGAAACTGCGTAGAGATGTTGCATCTCTGTGCATCTTATACCAAATTTATCATGGGGAGTGCTCTGAGGAATTGTTTGGATTGATACCTGCTGCTGATTTTCACCACCGTACAACCCGCCATAAACTAAAATTTCATCCCAACCATCTGGACGAGTGGCGGTCCTCTACTGTGCGTTTTTCAAGGCACTTTCTCCCATGCACAACTACTCTTTGGAATCAACTTCAAGCAGCAGTATTTCCGAACCGATACGACAACATAACCTTCAAGAAAAGAGCATATTCCTTTTTAAAAGGCCGACAGCACACCTGCGATGCTGTTGGTGTTGTAGGTGATCATGAGCGGCGGTAGTCACTTATCATCAGGAGATCCGTACGCTCGTTTGCTTCCTATGTTGTAAAAAAAAAGTAGTACAATGAAGCGTGTTCTGATCCCAGCATAGAATAGGCCTCCCCTTTCATTCCTGTAGATATCGTAAGAGGCGACTAAGGGAATTTAAGTGTTGAAGGATGAGCAGTAAAGTCCCTATTAAAACATCATCAAAGCCTAACTGCGGTCGCCAAGCGTGGTAACTACTGACAAAACTCCCCAATAGGGGGAGGCCTATCAGCAGTGGACAGTTTACGGTTGATAAGAAGATCCCGCCTACCAAGCGCGGTAATATTGGCAAAAGCCCTCATGGGGGAGGCCTATGTTTCTATTCTATTCTATGTTGATGATGATGATGATGATGATAAGTAAGATAAATATTTTTCTCAAACATGCTTGGAAATGTGAGCATTATTTTGACAATCTTCTTAGAAATAAATCAAAATTGCCGTACTGGCCAGATACATGTGGGCAGTGGCCGGCAAAAGTTGTATGAATATCCATATCTGTCGTGTTTTGCGGCCAGATAAATTATTATGTGAACTCATGTCTGTCCTGTAATTTAAAAATGGAATGACCTTTTACTTCGAAACATGACTACTAAGGAGGTAACTAATAAAAAGTTTTATTTAAATTTTGAACTGGCTTGCTAATAGAAAGCTGTTTATTGAAAAAAAAAAAAAACAAAGGAACATTATTGCGCGTGAAAAGCTATTATTGTTCATTATTCGTCATTGAACTTAAAAAGTAAAATTTTGTTTATGATTTCCGCGCATTGTTTGAGAAAAGTACTATACTAGCCTTAGCCACAACTAGGCATTGATGGAGTCACGTATGTGCTGCTCGGCTACGCCTCGGCCCACATTTGCACGTTCGTCCATCAATGCCTCAGTTGCTGGCCACTGCAGTAATGTACTATATTAAGCTTAAAATAACGGCTATTGTGACAAATAGTCATTAATTAATTTCAATATTAACACAACAATATACAGGTAAAGAAGCCACCTAAAAATGGCGGCTTGAAGTCGGAGTATTTTTAATGAAAATGCACTATCTATAGACGTTATTGATTTGAAATTCAAAGTCAGTAAACATATGATTTAAATTTAGCAGAAAGCGGAAAACTATAATTACCTAAACATTGGTTTCCTTCAGTCGGTACAGGCACGAACTGGAAGTTACCCTGAACACTGATTTAGCATATACGTAAACAATGCTGTAAGGGCCAACTAAAACGGGCGTGTTGGTAAACATCTGGCGGGTGACGTCACCCGACCAAGTGCACTGGAGTGGCGAACGGGTCAGTCGTGCTCGAGTGAGTCACATGTATTTCGGTAATTAATGTATTTCCATACGATTGCCAATAAAGGGAGGTAATGATTTTCGGGTATACCTATTATATTATACATGGAATTTGAAAATTATTATCCCTTTAAGACAGTGTTCTATACGTGAACATTTTTTCCAAAGAAAACTGTGTAAATCATATAAAAAATTTCCATCTGCAAGGGATTTTTCTATGTAGTAAATTAACTACAATTGTATTTTCTTTAATTGTTTAAGGAAAGTACTATACAAGCCTTGGCCACAACTAGGCATTGATGGACTCACGTATGTATGCCTCGGCTACGCCTCGGCCCACATTTGCACGTTCATCCATCAATGCCTCAGTTGCTGGCCGCCGGAGGAAAAGTACTATTGTTCATTATATATTTTATGTAAATTATTTTTTTATTAAAATGCTTTTGCCTAACCTTTACAGGATCCATATTGAAGCTGTACCCATTATGATTGAGATCTATATCATAATATATTCTATAGTCGAATAACACTAGCCATATATTCTATAGTCGAATTTCATGCTGTTTCCCTGGAAACCATCGTGGTTGATTCATATGAAATTCGTCATGACGAGCCAACGGAGAGAGTCAGAGAGGCTACCATGAAATGTTTTCTGAAATTACATAATACCATTTTAATCATTAATTATGTTGAAATATATATTCCTTTAGACTTTTTTGGTAAGATTTATGAGGAACAAAACGTTAAGTTTTATTTACTGGGCTGATTTTGTTATGAACGGAAACAATTGAATTTGAAAATATGGTTTTTCACTTAATGGTAAGACACCCTCTATCATCTTCACCTATCATCCATCATTTAAGCCTTGCCAGCGTATATCGATAGCGTAGGCTGAAATGAATCTTAGATGAAATTAGAGATCAGCTAAAATATAATGTATTTTAATGCATTGTAATAAAGCCGGGTCCATTATAATGCATTCGGTTTGTCTGCTGTCTATTAGCCACAATCTCTCTCTCTCTTCAGTCATACACTCTTGACATAGTGCTCGTAGTTTTTATGATGACAGTGGACTGTCAATGAGACTCTCCTTCGCGATTGAGGTTCTTGCAATGCATCTCCATCTACTTCTGCTCACATACCACAACTACAACCTAGGGTTGCTTTAAAAGCTTTCTTTAAAAACCTGCAGAAGACAGCAGCAGGATCTTAGTTATTTACTATACTGTAAATTATTGTTCATTTCGCCATTGCTACTCGTTGCATTATTTTTGCTTTTTTTTTTTAAGAAAATTTACTAAATGCATTTAATACGTTTTGCCTCTTCAGCGTCTTTATGAAGATTGTTAGCAGTGCAGACAATATAAAGGTTATCGACACGCGGAGAGTGGTCGGTTTACGACGAGATCTCGCCATTGGCTCGAAATTGCCAGCCATAAACAAGCCCGCGGGTTTTATCCGAGCTCGTGTGTCATACAACTTTCGTCGTTTCCCTTACAAACTTGGCACTTCGATAGCGAACTTTTATAATAAGTATGGTTCTTTGCCTCTTTAAAAAATAAAACAATCGATCTATGGACATTTTTTTTTTAATTTACTTTCGTTGACACATTTGTTGCTTTTTATGGTAGGTACTCTGGTTGGCGGTTAGAATTTAAGAAATTGGAATTCGGAATTCAAATTTATTTTGGCTATTGGATTTTTTTTTATACAACTTAGAATATCAAACAAGCTGACGGCCCACCTGATGGAAAGTGCTAACCTTCGCCTATAGGCATGAGCAGTACTATGAACATAACAGAGTAAATTGTTTTGCCTATGATACTCCCCATGCGTTGCCATTCCTGAGGACTCAGGTGTTATTCCTCTTCCTTCAAACCGAAACACAGCCATGCAAACACAATTGCTTTACGGTTGAAACACGAATGGGACAGAGGTACCCAAGTAAACGACTTTTGTACAAAGTCTCCCTCTGGTTATTTTGAACTTACTGTCTGTTTTTTATCTACTCTTTTGTCTGCATGATCGGAATAATATTATTTAAAAGATGAAAAGTACTTTATACGTATCTCAATTTCAAATACCATGGAAATAAATTGCTTATACAAACAAACAATCTACGTAAACAAGATTATGAAGTAAAAAGAAATAAAATAAAGCAAATAAAAAAAGGAATTCACATTAACATTTATAATTTTAGTAAAAACTAAGTAGATGACTTAGCAAAGGTTTTTTTTGTCCCTTAAAAAGGGGTAAAGGGTGAAAGGGTTAAAGGTTTATTTTTCTAATCCTAATAAAAATTATCTTATCTCTATAAGATGCAGTAAATAATATACATTTACAAAAATTTATTAAAATCGGTATTGTAACTAAATATATATAGATATTGCTATATATTTGTATATAGATATTGTAACTAAAATATACAGATACTAGCTGACCCCGTAAACGTTGTTTTACCACTTATTGCGAAATATAAAAACGTGATTAAAATACATGTGGGTTGATCGTAAAACGATGAAAATTTAAAGTTATATGTATTTTATAATGCTAAATTATAATAAAATAAAATTAAAAAAAATTGTCAAAAAAATTAAAAAAAATATTTTGGGGTGGGTCACCCTTATCATTGACGGGTATGAAAAATAGATGTTGGCCGATTCTCAGACCTACCCAATATGCACACAAAATTTCATAAAAATCGGTAAAGCCGTTTCGGAGGAGTTTGGCAACAAACACCGTGACACGAGAATTTTATATATAAGATATATTACCCACTCCTAGTAAGGATAGTCTACCAACAAACCACGTCACGATGCAGCGAATAAAATCATCTCGAAGCTCAGATATCAAAGGAGTCGTAATATTTTTACTGTGTTGACGCCATGGTATGTCTGAATGGTAGGTAAACACGAATGGAATCATATGATCAGCGACTAAATTGGCTCTTTGGACGATGGTTTTGGTCTGTATTGTCTCTGATATGTTATTACGCGTATGTAGTAAACATGTTTGAACAATTTGAAGAGGTCCAGATCGTAAAATTGTTTTATTTTTCTTTTTTAATTTTATATTATATATATATATATATATATATATATATATATATATATATATATATATATAAATATTTTTGTGTTGTTTCTTTATTATAATTCTTAATATATGGATTTTTTTTAACCCCTGTGTGGGTGTCGTCGCATATTTCTTGTAAAATAAAGTTTCTTTCTTTCTTTCTTTAAAAGGAGTTATGGCTAGGGGTTGTTAGTAAATGTATATAGAGAAAAGATGGACGGACTGTATAATGATGATAATGATTGTCTATTACTGAACATAGACCTCCTTTGGGGGGCTTAGTAATTGCCACGCTTGACAAGCACATTGACAACCGAAGTTAGGCTTCTTTTTTATACAACTTAGAATGGCAAACAAGCTGACAGCCCACCTGATGGAAAGTGGTAATCGTCGCCTATAGACATGAGCAGTACCATGGACATAACAGAGTATACTGTTTCGCCCATGATACCCCCCATGCGTTGCCATTCCTGAGTACTCAGGTGTTATTCCTCCGTACCCTGTAAATTCACTGCCATATCCCACTCTTCAATCCGAAACACAGTCATGCAAACACAACTGCTTCACAGTAGAAACACGAATGGGACAGAAATGCCCAAAGCAAACGACATTTGTACAAAGTCTCCCTCTGGTAACTAGCTCCAATTTAGAAAAATAAACTCTTAGGCCCAGCAAGAAACGAAAATTCATTTCCTCTAGCCATTCCCAAATCGAAGATCTTAATTAATATCAGTAAATCCATATTTCCTTGTGGAAATAAGTACATTTCTTGTTCCAATGTCCAGATGCAAGATTATTTTTAAAGCCATATTTATTCTAAATGATAGCTAAAGACACTCTACACTAAGATGGAATACATATGAGTATATTTATACAAATTAGTTTAATTTATATAAAAAAAATGAGCATACCTATGTATGTATAAATACCATAGGCTACAGTGGCTGTTTACCATTAAAGAAGCTGTATACTTGTTTGCCACATTTATGATATTAAAAAATAAAAGGGGCATATGGCTAACTATAACATATATATTTTTATCTGTTCTGCTTTAACCAAAGGTTGTCTGTAAGAGATTGCTCTAGCGATAGCGACCGCCTTTTGTATAACTTTTTTATATTAGATATAACTTTTTTATGCAACTTAGAACAATTATCTTTTATAGACGTCTTAGGCATTGATGTATTTAAGGAGGTCGTGCTTACACCAGAATTGTCTATAATTATGTAATCCTACTCCGGGATTTGAACGAAGTCTAAGAGTATGGAATGTGCTTTTTGAAGGGACGAGGCCCCTGGTTGTCTAGGATATTAAGTATCGACTATCCCAGGTAATGCAGGTTTTTCTGCATAACTTGGCCTGAATAATTTTGATTATATTAATCTATGCTGATCTTTTTGTTTTTTTTTTTTTTATTATTTTAAGGGCTTTTACCTTCTTCAGGTATATCAGTCCTATTGTACCCTGAACTGATTTCTCAAACAAAAGTTTATCTACCTTCCCTAGACGCGGAAAGAGAAGAATTAATGGGCATCAATAATTTACAGAGATGTTAAAAAAAATCTGGTTTAAGTTCAGCTAACATAGTTTGAATAAGACCAACATCGAGTTATAAAAGTAGATGATGCAAGTAAGATTTCTATAATCTATGTTCCCAAAGGGATTTTTTTGACTTTGATATTTTTTTTTGGATTTGCTCAAAATAACACTCAGTTTAGTAAAATATTTATTCAAATTTTCGACACGCGTCTCTTTTGTCAATATCAAATTGTATTTAGTTTAACCTCAAGCATGCCTTTGTTTGTGTTTTTTTTTAATAAATGATGAAACCATAATAGTCCCCTGGGCGTTTCGTAACATGTAAATTCTAAAGGTGTTTTTACAACTGTTTGTGAAACTCAGTAACTGAGTTTCACAATATAAAATAAAAGAAGAAAAAAGAAGTTATAAAATAAAAGAACAAACTTTGCAGACGCCATGAATTAGTAATTATTCTTAAGTATTATGGATCTGTATTTATCATATTTAACTTTATACTTTATTAAGTTTGGATTTATATTTTATTCATGACTAGCTGCCCGTCCCTGCGTCGCATGGGTGGACATTTTTACATTTTTGAAAGTGCTTAAAAATGGAGTAAATTCACCCGTTTTCCCTTCACTGCTCTGCTCCTATTGATCGTAGCGTAATAAAAAGTATACTATAACCTGCCCAGGAGTATGAAGTATAATTGTACTAAGTTTTGTTAAAATCCGTCGAGTAGTTTTTGTTTCTATAACGAGCATACAGACAGACAGACAAAAATTTTACTGATTGCATTTTTGACATCAGTATCGATCACTAATCACCCCCTGATAGTTATTTTGGAAATTTATTTCATGTACAGAATTGACCTCCTTATAGATTTATTATAAGTATCGATTAAAATGTACACAAATAAATGTCCAACTTGTGTAATATTTTGATAAAGTTACTATGCGACCAATCTGAAAGTACTTCCTATCAGATAAAAGAGATAAGACTTTCAAATCGGTTTTTAAATGATAAATATGAGGTAATAAACATACAGCCTCCCCCTTGGAGAGTTTTGCCAATAGTTGCCATGCTTGGCAGGCGGATTGGCAACAGCATTTAGGCTTTAGAAATCTTTTAAGAGAGACACTGCTGCACATCCCCCTCCCTCCTTTAGTCGACTTTACAACACCCACGGGAAAGGAAGGGGTGGCCTATTCTATGCCGGGATCATAGGGCCAATATGTACGTGTATAAGTACTGTTAAATTAATTTTTTTAATGTATTATATAAATGACTGTTTCCTAAAAACTTGCAACGGTAACATACCCTGTCTAATTTCAAAGAAAATTTAATAACTTTACATATTTATTTGTATAAAATTGATCATTATTAAACTTGATTTGTAATACTAAAACATTAATAATAATAGAAGAATCTAGATATAAATTAACCAAAAAGATTACATTATTAAACCCATACTTTGTGTTGATGTAACAAAGTACTAAGTAGGTTTAATCTACAATGGGAACTAACGAAAACAATAATTTTGGATACAGACTAAATACAAAAAAAGGAGTTACGGTTACGTTTACGTTAAGTTACGGTTGATAACATTTTCCGATACATATAACCTGAGACGAATTCCCGTTGGCTGTTAATAATGAAATGAATACGTCGCGTCGTGTCGTGATCCTACTGAAATAATAATTTATATAATACGGATCTTCTGAAAGCTGGCTGTAATCGGATTAGCACAGCCCTAGTGTAGCTTACAAATAAAATATTGAATAACTTTATTTATTTACTTATGAGGCAAATATAAAAACCTATTGTTTTCTTTTGTGTGACAGTAAATAATTTAGATATCATTAAGGATCACGAATTGATCCCGAAACTAGTTGAGTTTTCTTGGTCTAATTACGTAATATAAGTTAAATGGGTAGTTGATATATTAAAATTTTGATTTGTTTTTTTTTGTGCGTATAAATG